GTTTGTTCCTCTAGTGATAAGACTGTCAACACCTCCATTCTGATAAACCTGGGTGGGAAAGAAGACTAAATCACAGCTGGCATCTAGAAACCGCACTAGACTGTCACACATGCAAACATCTTGTACTTGGATGGGGAAAAAACATGGAGAATCACTAACTTAATCAAAACATGTGCAGCAGGATGGGACAGTCACTGCCACATAGTTCAACTAAGGCCTAGTGGAGGGCTTACTCAGTGCACCCAACATCCACAAGCTGTCTGCACATTTAAACTGTTTTCTTTTAAAAACTAGAATCCCATAATTAAACAGTTTAAACTTTAAACAGACTAAGTGAATGAGATCCAAAGTGGGAGTGCTAAGAAGAAATTTAAGAAAATCAAATTTAGCCAGGCAGTGGTGGCACATGCCTTTAATCCCAGCACTTGGGAGGCAGAGGCAGGTGGATCTCTGTGAGTTCAAGGCCAGCCTGGTCTACAAGAGCTCGTTCTGTAACAGGCACCAAAGCTACAGAGAAACCCTGTCTCAAAAAGCCTAAATAAATAAATAAATAAAATTTACCTTCTCTCTATGGATTTTAATTCAATACTTTCCAATGAAAGGAATTTACAGCACACTCAACCAACAACAAATGGCATCCCAAAGCTAAAGAAAATATTTTAAGAATTGCAACTATTGATCTGATGAGGGGGAGGGGGAACAGTCCTTAGGGAAGAGAGAGGAAGGTAAATACAAGAGGAAGGAGGGAGGTAAAATAATATGGATGGCTGAAAAAGTCACAAAGAATTAAACTATTAACTAATAAAAAAAAAACTATAATGCACATAATTCAGTGTGTGTGTAGTTTTAATGAACTTTTTTCATCTGGGATTACAGATGAAAAAAGAGCCAAAGACCACCTAACAAAAGCCAAAATCCCCAATACCAGAAATAAGAAGCCCTCTTTTAATTGTTAGCTAGGACTGTCAGAGCTCTTGGTTACACCCGAGAGGTGGAAGAGGCTACCCCTATGCACTTCAGAATCAGGATCCAGAGGCCCTGATCTGAGAAACTGATCTGAGTGCCCCTTCCCTGAGGACCAGCTTTGCTGGTACCAGAAGGTGCTTGCCCACATTCTCTGTGTTCTCCTCCCTCCTCACCTCTCTCTCTCTCTCTCTCTCTCTCTCTCTCTCTCTCTCTCTCTCTCTCTCTTTTCTTTCTCCCTCTCTTCCTCTCTCTCGCCCTCTCTTTTTCTTCCTCCCTCTCCCCTCCCCCCCCATCACCTTCTGAAGCTGTAAGCAAGACCCCAGTTAAATGCTTTCTTTTATAATAGTTGCCTTGGTCATGGCATCTCTTCAGTGAAAGAGTTCGAACTAAGACAGAACCATCCTGCTAACACCAGAACAGATGAAAAGTGATGTAAAGAGCTGAACACAAAGGCTGAGCACTTCCTAACTTCAGGCATTTTTACTTACATTGTCTCCTTTTCTCTGCATAACTACTGTATGAGGTAATTCTATCTTACTCATTTAATAGAAGAGGAAACTATGATTTGATGATATTAAGTAATTTGTCCAAGATCCCACAAAAGAGAAACTGGAGCTGAAGCCCGAGTTATATGGCTTCAAAATAAACCGTTCTTCTTTTCACTGCACTTTCCCAACCTGGCAGGCAACTCTGTCATTAAAATTTCCAGACTTTTAATTAATACTTACTGAGGAAAGAGATAATATCAAGCTTCTAATGGATGGTAATAATATAGACTGATATTAGTCATAGTTTTATAACTACAGATGAAGATTTGAGAAATAATTACAAGTTATGCATGATGTTACATTCTTTAAAGCTGAATATGTAAGGCCCCTAGAATGGGGATATTTTTTTAATTTATTTTCTTAGAAAGGAACTAAGTAAACTTCAGTTTACTTGTATAATTTTGAATTTCCAAAGCTTTTGATGACCCCATAATGTGGTAGTCATACATCAGTAACTACAAGCATTATTAGCATGCTTGTTCTGACAGAGTAAGAAAAAAGCGGCTACTTTATTCTGATTTCTCTGTTTTAGCTCTAATACGTCCTCTATTCTGTTTTTCCCCAGATCCGGAAGCGGCTAAGTTAGTGTAGCCAAGCCTCAAACTCAGGAACTCTCTAACACAGATGCAGATGTAGATACACTGGACGGTATACACCAGTCTGTCGGAACTGACAGTATCGTGTGGTACACGGCAAGCTTCGGTTATTTTCAGAACGTTAACTATGACAGAACTACTTTTCTTCTCTGTATCTTCTCAACTGACTTTGCAGAACTCATCCTGAGTAACTAGATGAAAATGGGAATAAAAAGAGTAAGGAGGAGGAGAGGCAGGGAAAGCGGCACTCTGGTGCAAACCTAGCATGCGAGTCACCATTGCCAAGTTAGCTGAATTCACTCAAGTTCAGAACTGTGCCCTTCTTCTCTCTGATGTATACACCACAATCAATATGCCCCAAAACAATTAAAACCTTATCCACTTGTAAGTTCTGATAACTACCTCTTAAACATTTGAGAAATTAAGTGTGTACAAAGATAGGTATAAAGTCTTTCTGAAATTTAAAAGGTCACAAATATTTAAGAAAAATTTCCCTAAGATTGAAAAGATACAATTACTACATGTATCTAAATGAATGCCATTTCCACTTTTGTTTCTTTGTCAGAAACTGAAGTTCTGTGTGAAGATCTTCCGTTATTCACGCTATGACACAACACTGAAGAGAGTTGAGTCTTGCTGAAACACTAGTGAACCTAGTGAACACGGTGACTCGGTATCCGCGTAGTTATTTTCTTAAGCTGCATTTGCAAATTCTTTCCCATCACAAAATACATTCTTCCAAAACAATCTTGCATAAGATTGGTCCAGTTTATTCAGTTACATGATTAAAACACTGAATAAGCGATCATTCCTTGGTTCTCACTCCGAAAGATGTACATCATGGTGCAAAACTGCCATCTACTAACATAAAGCCACGCTTAGAACAGAACACTGGCGTCTAAGACAAGTTTGCAGGCTCTTTCCTGTGACTACCACAATGACATTGCTAATCTTGGCGTAGATACAAAGATCTGTCTTTCCACACCTCACAAACCCACACTGAGTAGTGCTTCATGGAACTAAACTACTACTGCCTTTTTCCTGCTACTATTTAGTTTTACTATTTCCACTTATAAACAAGGACCTTACAATATTTTGTTCTTCTATACAGTTATGTTAACGTTTCCAATCTGATCGTTTCAGTTCCTCTGCTGTTAATATTTACTATGGAACAGCTATTAAAAGGTACTGCGGCCACATTAAACAAGCACACCTCACTTTTTCTAACTTTTGACAGGAGCGGAAAAGACCGTGAATCTGAAGTGTTCACAGGCAAGTTAGAGCGACAGGGCAACCAAGAATGAAATTCGAGTATCTCGTCCAGAAATGCCTGGACTACTTCTCCCACGCCAATGACATCTACCTTTGAAGCAGAGCTGACGCTGCATTTACAGGACACTACATAATCTCAGCTAGTGTATATTAATACTGTCAATGCAGAAAAGAAACAGATCTTCGCCAAAGGTCTTTTATGGAAGAAAACCGAAAGTGTTTCCAAGAATGCCTATGTACTCTCTTAAAACATCCCTGGGACCTTTGAAAACCCTTAACTCGAGGGCTATCAGAAAATCTTTTCTTGGCTGTAAAATAGACACTCAACCTTTTATATCCTGTGGCTCTTCCACTACCATCATAAATCCTGGGGAGGTGTGTATACAAACAGTCCCTGCACCCGACAATGCATTTTGCAATACTATTTTCCCCTTTAATCCTGTTCCCATTTCACATATGGAGCGCAAAATTTTTTAGATATCAACCACTAAAATAGTGTCGGCCTTATCTTCAATTTTTTTTAAATTCTACTTTAATATGCAGCAACTTCAGGTGAATTTTTCTTAAAATGCCTGAAAACTCCTTTACAAGCTGGAGTAGCATATGTTTGAGTGATGGTGAGACTACTGTGCACATGTAAGTTTCTTCAGAAGGCGAAATAGTCAGTTTCATTGTACTGACATCACAAGGTGCATGAAAATGAAAGGCTGCCCTACCCTTCGCAAATTTAGGCTGCAATGGCATCCCCAACCATATCACAAATGCAAAGTACCAAATCGACCACCTCATGGAAACTTAGCGCTGAACTCTAACTCTTCTGAAAAGCGTCCTCGCTCTTACCAAACCTAACGTCATGTTTCAGAGAGCTGTTCCTAGGAGGACACAAGGGTGCCTCCAGACACCTCAGACCCCTAAACAGCCCCTGGGGCAAAAAAAAAAAAAAAAAAATCACCCCTGACTGCCGGCTTCACACCAGGAGTCTAGATCTGGTTCAGACTCCTGAAGGACAGCCCTGAACAAGAGGGGCAATGGGACATGAAGCTGGACAAGAGGCGAGACAGGGTTAGTGGGTCCCGATGTGAAGGGGCTGCGGGGACACGAGGGGCTGGGTACCCCAGAACAGGGCGACCAGGGGAGGAGCCCCAAGAGTTCTGGGCACCGTGAGCGACCGGCGATGAGCGCCAGTAGGGAGCGGGTGCGGACTCGCAGCGCCGCAGCCCCCAACCCCGCCCCACGCCCCGCAGACCCGCGACCCGCGACGGGGCGGGGCCAGGCGCCCGCCACGGCCGGCACCGCCCCCTCAGCCTCCGGGTGCGGACGGGTGGGAGGGGCAGGCCTGGCGGGCCGGGTGAGCAGCCGGACCAAAGCCCAACCCAGAATGTTCCGTCGCGGGGAGGATGGGGCGAGTGACCCCGCAGCCCCGGGCGGGGTCGGAGCCGGCTGAGGGCGGTGGAAGAGCCTCCGAGCAGCCCTCGCCCGCTGGGCCAAAGCCCGGCGCCCCGCTGCGGGCGGGGACGGTTGCCCCCGGTGCTGAGCTCGCCTTCCGGCCTCCTTCCCACCTCCCGGGGCGTTGCCCGGGGCAACAGTGCCTACCGACGGCGGCGTGAAACGCACCTACCTAGAACCTGACAAGCAGGAGCCCCTCAGACCCGGGAGCCAGTCGCCAACCGGCGTCACGGGGGCTGCCCCAGCCAATAGGCGCCGCCGTCACGAACCTCTACAGCCAATCCCGCTACACTCCGGTCTCCGGGCACCCTGAGTCCTCAGCCAATGAGCAAGGGCGAGGGGCGGGCGCTGCCGCCGGTCCCAACCCCCTCCTCTACTACCTCCCAGGAGGCGGGCGCGGCCCATTGGCCTGGGCCCGCGAGGGGCGGGGCTTAGCGGGTGGGAAGCGGGCTGGGGTTGCGGGCGCGGAGGCGTGGGCCGTGGCCGCCGCCCTGTGGGCCGCTTCTCCACCGGGCTGGTCCTCGCGACTCTCCCTCTTTGAGGAGCCCGGTTCTCCGAGCCCAGCTATCGGGATGGTCGCGGAGGCAGAGGTGGCCTGACAGGAAACTCGGGGAGGCTCGCAGGGCCGAAAGCCGGGAAATGGCCTGGCCGGGTGATAAACTGGGGCCACCGGGAAGGGTCAGCCCCGCGCTCCGGCCGGAAAGGAGGCGTGCCTAGACGTGGAGCGCCCGCGGGGTACGGGCGGGTGCGGCGTCTCCTCCCCACCCCGAGCGGGCTCGGCACCGGACTCTTCCTCTACCTTCCCGCGCTTTGCTTGCCTGTGCTGTAACGTGGATTCCTTTAAATCGGCTTTGCATTTCTGCAGCGCGCTCAGCACTAGTCTCTTCTCACTCCTGTGCTCCCGGTGCCTGCGACGCTGAGGATCTGAGAGGCTTCTGGGCACATGGATGCTGTTGCTAGGTGTTAGGCGGGTCCTGGGAGCGGTCCCCTCCAAAGTACTTACCTCTAGGAAAGTCTGGAAAGCGAGAACTCAGACTGATCGGCTCTTCCAGTGAGGGCGGTTTTTCGAAGCTCTCTTCGGCAATTTGGTGCAAAATGAGTAATGTGGACTGAACAGATCTTATTAGGTGATCTGGAGCTCTGTGATAGGTGTTACTCGTCACTAAGCGTCACTCCCGTATTGCTGTAGCACGCTTTTTAAGGCATTGTATCCTGTACGTGAGCTCAGCCACATTGGTTGCAAGCAGCAATTCTAACAACTTCATTTCCACTCCCACCCTTAAAAACTTTTGAGTTAGGTGAGAGCCAAAGAAGAAAGATGAATACTTTTCATTCTAAATGACTGTTCACTTAAGTCCGTTTCAGGGCCCAAGAAACCAAACATACTGTAAGGACACATAGATGTTTATGCCTTCCTGTTAAAAATGGATGAGATTCTCTCCCCTTATTCTCAGAAAACAATTATTAAGTACTCTTAGCAGATTCATGATCCAGGGATATCTTCCTCAAGAACTTGGAAGATACAGGGGTGTGAATCAGTGTTTGAGCACTTAAAACCCTGGTTGAACCCCACTAAGAGTAGGGGGAACCCCTTACCTGGGGACAACAAACAAACCTGGGAACCAGTATCTCTCAAAGTTCAGAGACACCAACAGATCTAAATGTGGATGATGTGGCTGATGAGTTACTAGTGCACACACCTATATATGAGAATGGAATGCACTTTCTCAAAAGCAATAAAAAACCTTTTCGGTTCTATAATTATCTATTCTAATCCCGGCGATACACTCAAGTCTAAGTTGTCTGCCCTGTGTCAGGCATCATGTTAAGAAGTGCAACTTTGCAATTTAAAAAAAAAATTAGTCATCAGGCATATAAGCCACAGTTCAATTTGGCAAAAAGAAAGAGAGAGAAGGGAGGGAGGGAGAGAAAATGGCACTCCTGGTTTTATTGGTTTTCCCTAGAATATAATCACTTTGCATTACAACATATTTAACAAATACTTTTTTTTTCCACTTCCAAAAATTCTGAGCAAATTTCCTGTACAATCTTGTGACAATAGAAAACGAAGGAAAATAATTTCCTTTCACTGCCTTCATAAAACTCTAGTCATCCTGCAGTTGGTGATACTAACATAGGATTAGTAGGTCCATTTTCTTCCACTGAAATTTAGATCTGTACCAGGAACTACCACAGTTTGTGTAATGCCACAGTACTGCCAAGCTGTAACAAACAAGTCCTCGGTGTATTATTTGTACAGATTAAATACCAAATTTTATATTTTAATGAAGTGACTTTCCTGGTGAAAAAAATCTATATAATGTGAACATTAAAATTAGGTAATTGGTTTTAATTTCTAATTAAATTTTACTTTTGAATTTCTAATTAAATTTTACTTTTTAATTCTTTACTTTTAGTTAATATCATTCCTCACCCTATCTCCCTCTCGTTTTCCTGTTTAAAATTTTCTCAAGGACTTGAGGGATCTTGGCTGTGTGCCAGCATAGTTCAGCCAGTGCCACTTCTGTAACCTTTGCTCCTTCTCTTCTCCGTCTTTCATCTATAACTGTTCCCTTGTTCACTTTTTAGACCTAACCACTTGCACACACCACTCCTAAAGCAGATGTAGTGATAAGGAGGACAGAAGAAAAAAATGGTATTTTTTTTTTCTGTGTGTGCTACACAGTCTGTCCTCAGAGCACATAAACTTCATAGATTCTGGGGATCGTTCACTTAGATGAATACTTTCCCTAGAGATCATGTCCGGGTGAAGGTCAAGATGTTTGTTATATTGGCTTTCCAACGTTCAAAATGCATATATGTGACTCCCTTTGCATTACAGAACTGGAAATGGAAAATAAGGGGAGCACAGGGAATAAAGGCAAAGTAGATGACAGAACCGAACTCCTGTAGTCTTCAAAGTCAACGTCATCCCCACTAAGAACCGTTCACATGCGCCCCTCCCAGACGGAGGCTGCCTGGCACAACAGACTCATGGTGTTTCCCTTAGTTCCTTGGCTTTCCCTTCTCCAAGGAGAAATACTGCCACCAACATTCCTCATCAAGACGAGTCCTCTTAAAATGGCCACAGTTTAGTCAAGATCTGTCCCTTTAGTAAGTAAGCCATTGTATTCTCAGGACTTGCCTGCCCTTTCCTTCATTCCCTTATGCCTAGTCCTTTGTGCCTTCAAAGACAAAACTTGAGCCTGTGCTTGACCTACGGTGCTGGAGTAATGAGTAATGACTTCCCGGTTTGGTCACTTGAAGGCCTCATAGGAAATGCACGTTACCAGCCGCCCTCTCTCTCAGAGAGTCTGACTTGGGAAGCTCTGGGATGAGTTTTTAAAAGGAAATCTGTGTTTAGGAGACCAGCTAGGCGGGTCGACAAGGTGCAGCGGGCTGAGACTACATCTCTAGATGCTTTCAGCAGCGCATAAACTTATGTCCAGGTCTTGGGGAACCCAGCTGGCAGAGATCCCTGAAGGCAGCAGTAAGGAGCTGCACACAGAATTAGCTGGAAGTCTGTGTAATCTAAGAAATGTGTAGACCGGATCCTCAGATCACTTCCTCCACCAAGTTACTAAGGAACAGAAATGTTTGCTCCCAGGGGAGGCTGAGCGACAAGACAGCTGAGTGTGGAGAGGAGTGGGGAGCCTTCCAGAGAAGCAGAGGAAGTAAGTGCGGTTCCACGTGCTTCTCTTGCTGGGCTCCTGCAAGGCAGGCTCCAGGTTTCCGGGGGCAGTGACTTATCTGAGGAGGAATATTTTTATGTCTACTTGGAGAGTCTTGTATCTGACATAGCCAGATCCCTTGCCAAATCACACCAAGAATGACGTCGGTGATCTCCAAGTTCGGCTATAAAAAGATACGTGGGTATCATCTGCAATCATTCCCGCAGTCATGGAAATCAGACGCCAGATGGAAGAGGAGAGGCTGGTACAAAACAAAACCAGAAGAGATTTCAATGAACTGTGAGTAGTTTCCTTTAAATAGAAAACCCTGGGCTGGAGAGTTGGCTCAGTCAGTAAGTGGGTAAGGATGCATAGTGCTGTTTCAAGGGACCAGAGTTCAGTGATCCACAATCACCTGTAACTCCAGCTCCAGTGGGAGCCAATGCATCTGTCTCCCTTACACACACACACACACACACACACACACACACACACACACACAATTACAAATAATAAGAATAAATCTTAGAAAGGAAGATAATGTGTGCATGAGAACAAGATACTTTACCTGAAGGAAACATTTAAAGAAAGAAGTGAGTACCGCCATGTCCCCTTAGGAGACGACTCTTCCCCTCAGCAGCCATCAGTGACCAATAGTTCCTCCAATAGAGGTGGAACCTCAGGGGCATCTCCCTCATCCATGCTGGCATCCTGCAAGGCTTGTTCTTGTCAGGTCTAGTGCAGGTAACCACAGCTACTGTGAGCTAATCTGAGTAACAGCCCCGTTAAGGACCAAGCCAGATTTGTCTTGTATCACATCTTATTTTGGGGCAGGGTCTCCTACTGAGCCAGGACTCAAAGACTAGAGGAAGTTGTTTGGTTGGCCAACAAGGGCTAGAGATCAGCCTGACCCTGCCTGCTCCCCAGCTCTGGGACTGCAGGCACCTGTAGCCATGGCTGACTTTTTAGTAGGGCCTGGGATCTGAATACAGGTCCTTCTGCTTGCTCGGCAACCCCTCTCCCCATTGAACCATCTCCTCAACCCCAACAAGTGATAATTAACGTTGTAAAGAACCAGCAAGCTTTAGTTTTGTTCATGGTGTCGGGGATCAACCCCAGATGCTTGCCCATTCTGAACAAGTGGCAGACCAATGAGCTTCATCCCAGCCAGCCCTGCCAAAGGTTTTCCAGGGCTTGCACCATTTTATGCTACCCCAGTGACATATGACAGTTCCAGTGGCTCCTTGCTGTCTACCAGCACTGAGTAGTGCAAAAAGATTGGAAGACTGGTTTGCTTTGACATTTTTATTTGCCTTTTTTTGTTGTCTTTTGAAAGTCTACACTGTAGCCAGGACTGATCTGGAACTTACAATAGAGTTCAAGTTGGCCTTAAACATATAGCTATTTACTACTCTGCCCCAACCCCCTAGTGCTGAGACTACCACAACCCGATTATTTGGCCGTTCTAATGGATCTATAGTGGAATGATGCCCCGGCATTATGGTGCCCTGACATTAGCTTATATTTCCCCATTGGCTAACAATGTGGAGCGCTATTCAATGCTTACTTGAGATTC